TTCATTCATTTATCATTCATTGCACTCATTTCCCTAATCCATCCATTCGCTTATCCATCTGTTCATTCACACAATGGTGACATCAACCCAGCCAGCCAGCCATCCATCCTTTCAATGTTTCATTGCAAGTCTTCATTTATCATATAGTAGAACCATTTCTTCCTTAAAGCGTTCAAAGTATTTGCTATTTTCTTTTTCTTATTAATAACTATATTAACTGACTAAGTGGCTACTTTTAATTAATCTGCGAGTAGACTTCTAAACCTTGCTTAAGTAGATCTATAGTCAATAATCTGGTGTTATAATCGACTATGGACTACAATCTAATGTTAATATACTTAGCTAATATAATGTAGTCACGCAGATAGACCTTAACCAGTACTAATATAAATGCTATTAATCACATTAATTCTCTGTTCTACTCAGTGAACAAGTTTAGCTATATTACAGTTTGTAGTTCAATGGGTGCAAAATTTCATTTGAAGAAAACCGATGATATAACAGTTAACTAATGGTGTACATTCATATGTGTTGCAATTTAGAAACTACCCCTTAGAATCAAGAGAGGCATATATCTCAATGTCATTTTTTTATTCTTTGATCTTTTATGTCTCCAAGTATATAATATCAAGAACCCATTGACGTACATGACACTYAAAACTGATAGAATATTGTCAGATACACGATGATGATCAATCTTAAAGAATAAAAAAAATCAGCAGTTTTGTTGTTAATTATTGTGATTGGTGCCATCAATATTGATTTTTGTTAGTGATCCAAATTTTTTGTAAAATATCTCTGATCCATACTTTTTTGACCTGGGCTCTAATCGTATGTACGAAATTACAAATTTAAGGAGTTTATTCAGCATATCTTCACAGAACAACTTGATTGATGATTGCGCCCCAAACACAAAAGGTATCGCCGTGAGAAAGGAAAAACAACCAAATATTCAATACTCCAGTTTCGAATTCTCCAATGCTCTGTGTTAGCCTCATTTGTGCTCAAAATATTTCCTAATTGTGAGAATAAAAGTGTGAGATTTCAAATCAATTCTATTGT